AGCCTGCCACGGCCATACAGTTTGTAAGCAATATAAGTCTCTGTGTTTACTTGGTTGGGTCTGAGCGGCTGTGGGACTGGCAGGTGACAGAGATTTGTCCTGACTGTGGGCAAGGCAGGAAAACTCTAGCTACAGGGAAGGAAGATCTCAGGACACATTGCCATTCTCATCTTCCTGTACCCGACAGGATCAATGTGACTGAGAACAGTTGATGCCAGGCTTGATCTTGCTTGAGATGTTTTTACTTTTTCCTGAAGACCAACCAAGTGTTTTCCTAGAAATTTTAATATTGTATTCACCGAGGCTACTGGGAAGCTAACAGGAGCTATTCTTTTTCTCTTTATTGGTGAAGTTGTAAAGCTGCTGTAAGTATCTAAGTATTTAGACAAAAATAGTTTTAGTGGTGATGAAGAATGCCTCTTTTCATGTGTTGCAGGTGGGAATGAGATCGCGAAACCAAGGTGGAGAAAGTTCATCTAACAGGCATGTCTCCTGCCCCAAGTCCTCCATCATCAGCAATGCTGCTGGTACAGGCCCCTCGGAAGAGGCAAAAAAGAACAAGGCAAATCGGAAGGAAGATGATGTCATGGCTTCAGGAACTGTCAAACGGCACCTCAAGCCATCTGGAGAAAGTGAAAAAAAGACCAAGAAGTCTCTGGAGTTATCCAAGGAGGATCTCATCCAGCTCCTGAGTATAATGGAAGGAGAGCTGCAGGTAGAGTCAGGCTTCTTCCTGAAGGACCTATCCACCGTCCCTCAGTGGACTGCGAGCATCTTTGGGAAAGGGGGCTTATCTTCCTCGTTTCTGTCTAAATCCTAATGTGGGCACAGGTTTTCACTGAGAAACTCTTTGTTTAAAGAAGGACAAGTGACCAGGTGCTGATTCCAGCTTCCAGCTTCTCTAGAAGCATAAAGTTTCTTCGTGATATTATTTGGCAATCGTTAATTCAGATTCTGGAGAGAGGCTATCCGATTTGGTCAGGGCTCTGACTGACAGATGTAGAAATGTTAGGAATGGAAAAACGGCATGTTGCGCTTAGTACTTTTGTGTTTCTTCTGGGGGCGGGGGAGAGTGGGCAAGAAAGCTAGAGCCTTCAGCTTTTTTGCTTCATCTTGTTACAATCCTCTGTGATTCTCAGCCTCGGTGTTCTGCCTCATCTTAGGAGATGAGACCCAGTGAACATAATAGCACATTGCGAAGAATCCGCATGGCTTCCCAACACTTTTTCAAGTCTGCCATTTCATTTGACCTCAGTAAAATGTAGACATCGTTATACATATTTTATAAATGAAGCTAAGGCTAGGAGCCAGAAACTTGTCCAGATCTCGTCTCAGGTCTCCCAGCTCTTGGTCCAGTGATCTTTCTGCCTTCCCACACCAACTTGTTCTATTTTCTGTGAGCCAGGACCATCCCAAGAGGTCTGTGTTTTGGGGGATTTAGGAAACAGTTCAAAAAAAATTTTTTTAATTTCTGAGCTTAAGATAATTTTTTTCTGACAGTAAGGGAAGAGTAACTTTTTTTCCCAAGGACAGGATGACTTAAGAATGAAGTTATTGTTTTCCCTTTTGTTAGTTTGTTTGTTTTTGTGTTTGGTTGCAAGAGCCTCCAAGGGAATACTAGCAACTGCATGAAGGCAAACCTTTGTTGCCTTGCTGGTTCTGTCAGTATCAGAGAGAGAATCTGCAGCCTACTCTAAGCTAGTGTGGCTACTATGTTCCTCTTTCCATCTGGGTGTGTGTGTGTGTGCACATAAGGAATCCTCTGGAATAAAGAGAAATAGAAAACATACAGAACTAAAGTTTAAACACCACAAGCAAATAACAACCAAACAAAATCATTTAAATTTCATAGCAAAAGAAAAACTTTCCAGAACACAACCGTTACTAAAAGCAATGTCACCACTTCTAGAAATGTGGTCATTGTTTTGTCTATTACATTTATTGGGGAGAGTTAAATATGACCCCAGCCTTTTAAGTGGTGCGGTGCTCCAGTGACTGCTGAGGACTGAGTATGGTGAGGGGGTGTGTGCCACCTTCAGATCCTTCCAAAGCAACACCATCTTCTTGCCTCGTTTCAGCTGTGTTGGTTACTGTGAATCTGGGGCCCCTGCAGGCACTTGTTCTGTAGAAGGCTATTATATCATGAGAGACCCTGAGGCCACTCATGTGGCTTTTAGGGACACAGTGGCACTGCATTTTATTCTAGATTGGTATGCAAAAGATAAGCCCATACGCCTGGGAACCGGAAGAAAGTAGACAGATGTCCCAAAGACGGGTGTTTTCATTTATCTCTTTGACTACAGGGTATTTACTTACACAGATTCCTGGTCAGTTATAAAAAAGTAAAATGTGTACAATATCATTCGTCAGGGAGAAGGGTAACAGGAACGAGTTCCATAGTGATTTAAATGGCAAAGCAGATAATCAGACGCACACATACAAAGGAGCCTATATGTACACATTTGTAAATGTACATTTTGCAAGGTTACATTTGTTTAAGAGGAGAGTGATCTTGGATTTGGAGATGCAGAGATGTTTTTGTAGTAGACATTTGTGCTCTATTAGCACCATCACATTGGAGGATGGTATTGTGGCTAACAGTGGGAAGCTGTTCACACTAGCAAATGGGAGTGGGCTGATGAAAATGTGCTGGCTGTTTGCTAAGCTTACTGGCCAGGAGAAGGGAAAGGGTTCTGTCTGAAAGGCTGGCGCTGGGAGAAGAGGCAGGACTGTGCATTGGGAAGTAAGTTACTATCAGCTCAGGACTGTAGGGATGGCTCAACATTCATGGAGTAGTTGGTGTACTGTTTCTCAGACCTCCGTTGGCCATCAGTCTCTCTATGGGCTGGCTGCATGTGACTCATTACCCTAGAGATGACATCCCAAGGTCCTCTCTAATACTGGGACTGTAATGCAAACTGTAGATGACTTACTCACTCTATCTCCTTTATATCACAACCAATTATGCCCTTGGCCCAAGAAGGGTCAACCTTTTAGTCATAGTTGCTATAGATCTAAATTCCTTGTCTTACATACAGTCTAACATCCTGTCCACCTTATCACTTGTGTTCTGGGAATGTTCACATGGGGTTGGACTTTGGGAACTTTATATTTACCCTTGATTTCCAGAGTTTCCTTCATATATATTCATATGTAAACTCATAATCCAAAGACATTGTATAGAAAGATACTTTTTAAGCAAGAGAAATTGAAGAATTCTGTTTCATCAGAGGGACAGAGTGAGATCAGAGCCCAAAGTTTGGTGTGTTGCAAATATTAAATGTGGGGCCAGTAGAGATGGCACGTGCTGGGTACTACGCAAGTCTGGGGGTTTTGTTTTCACTGCTCAGTGGCTGGCATTCACTGAAGTGATAGAAGTCGGAAGCCTTAGGGGGACACATCTACAGGTCAAAGGAAGTAGGGTGGTACACAGAAAAATGGGCTTACAGTGTCAAGGGTACAAGACAATGATGAAGTCTGTTAGAGGAGGACATCTTCCGGACTTTTCCTTACCACACTTCAGCAGACGCAAGCTTGCCATCTCAGCACCAGGACCAGCCAATGTTGCTGGCATCAAGGTTGTTAAGCTGGTTTCCGTTATTACAGTTCTGTCCTTGACTGTTTCCAGTAACACGTGCTTTCTAATAAATTGGAACACTTTTACTCTCTGAAAAACTAGTTACATATTTCCCAGACTGAACTGAAAGTAATGAAACTGTACACCCAAACCAATGTTTGGGCACCGTGATTCATTTTCCCTTGTATTTATTCTAAAATAGCACTTTTAAGAATCCTGTCAACTTGGCTGTACTAAAATCAACAAAACTTCAAAGGAAGTAGTAATCTCATCATAAAAACCACAACACAAAAGACTTGGCAAAAGTACATTCTTGTAAAGTCAAAAACAAAACATGAATAAATTCATTTTCTTGACTCAAAAAATCATTTTATATTGTAAGTTCCCTTGGCTTATCTATTTCAATACATTTTAGAGGGGAAATCTCTCTAATTGGATCTCATCATTTCTCCCTTTGTTGTTATGTTTTGTTCTCTTCTCCCTGCATCTACAGAGACATGGAGGAGAAAACTAGATAAGCCAATTAGATGATAGATCAGAACTCTGTTGACTTTGGTGTTCTGCAGGCTATGCCACACAGTCACTGACACACTGAGAAATCAGTCTCTAACCCTAGGCAACTGGCAGAGGGTGACGTATCTCAAGCATGGCTTATGAAACAGTCTTCTATGTACAAAGGACTTCAGCTCCCTCTGCTCTGCCTTTTTGGAATGTCTAGCCATTTTCTTTAATATTCTTCCTGAGTTGTCTCTGCTTCTCCATCTACTGAAGGGAAGCCTATTCTCGGCATATCTTTCTTGCCAAAGCAGTTCATTTATTCTTGGAACTTTACAAAATCACTTAATAGTGGTTGTTTTTACAGCATTTGAGGAACATTATTATGGGAGAGCTTCATACACTTACTATTTTCAAACTTAGGATCCTCCTTATCCCAGCCTGAGGCATCAGAGAGCTGAGAGGTCCATCAGTCAGGCGGGCAGAGAACTCTGCTTGGGGAGGGCAGGAGCTCCCTTTGGCTTTATGAATTGAATCACTGGGAATGCTTTCCAAAATGATCCCAGGAATTCTAAGCATGAAAGGAAGTTAAAGAAATAGAGAGCATGCCTATCAGAAATCTAGGAATTTAGAAAAAAAAGAATGGTTAAGAGTAATTTAAATCTGAAGTACATACTCATGCATGGCAGTAGGGCCTGATACTTCCCTCTTTAGCTGAGCAGTAAAACATGTTTTATACAATGAAGGTCTATTGGTGAAATTATTAAGGCCACTCCTCGTAGTTAAAAAGGAGGTTTATTTTGTGGGGTAACTCACAAATGAAGGGATAGGCTACAGGGTCTGGGGAAGACATAGCGCAGTCCGGCGGTGTTCTCTGGGGAACTCTGTTCGGTCTACCTCTAGCGTCCAGGGTCCGGGAACCAAGAGAAGGTGGTGCATCTGGATCTCCGGTCTTCAGGGTCCTCTCTTGGCCCCGCCTTGTAGGCGTGATAGTTACCAAAGCCTCAATGGGGGTTGAAACTTCCAGACCAAAGCTGGAATGGCTACCCACTGCGAAGGTCCTTGGAATACACATGTTAACCTCTTTATTTCAAAACCACCACATTACTTTTCTCTATTTTGAGCTTTCTTTAAGAGATGCAAACAGTGTGACTTGAAAGCTAAATCCTGCAGAGAAATGTGGTAGATTTTTTTTCTTTAAGAAAATTTTTTATTCATTTTACATACCAACCACAGATTTCCCCCCCCCCCTACAAAAGGGTAAGGCCTCCCATGGGGAGTCAGCGAAGCCTGATATATTCAGTTGAGGCAGGATCAAGCCCCTCTCCCTGCATCAAGGCTGTGCAAGGTGTCCCACCATAGGTAGTGGGCTCCAAAAAGCCAGCTCATGCACCAGGGAAAGATCTTGATCCCACTGCCAGGGGCTCCTTAAACAGACAAAGCTACACAACCATCTCCCGAATTCAGAGGTCCTAGTCTGGTCCCATGCAGGCTCCACAGCTGCTGGTCTAAAGTTCATGCTTGCTGCTTGGCCCTCCAAGTGTTGACTCTGGACCTCTCTTCAGTCCCTGATGTATGAAGGGGGATGTCCTACCTTCTAGTGTGACTGTTACTAAACTTGGTTAATATATATGCTACTTGGA